ATTATTCTGGGTCTGTGCCGTGCAGAAGTAACGTAACGGAAGAGAATATTGTGTACATATAAATATATAAACTGACAACATAAAAATATACAACAACAAAGATCAACAATCAACAACAAATATGCGCGACGTGCCAGGTCTGAGCCCGACAGGAGATGAAACAGTATTTACATGTCAGGAGACATTTGTATCGTTTGCAAGGGAGGAGTGTCAGTGGGGGACCCAGGCCTTGTTAATGAGGCTAGTTGCAGACAGGAAGAAACTGTTTTTGTGGCGAGAGGTTTTGGTCCTGATGGACCGCATCCTACAGCCAGATCATTCAGTTCACAAGTGTCTCATTAATAAGAAATGTAAACTGTGTCTGTGTATGTCTATAAAGTGAGGACCAAGGTGGCTGTTATTTTATTTGCTCGTTTGTTGTTCTTGGAGTACCTGGAGCAGTAGAATGACAGCAAACCAGATAATAAAGCTGAGGAGCAGATGAACACGAACATACTGCAGACTCCCTCACCTGCACCAAATTATCGCTCACATGATTGGACTAAGTCTGCTTAATATGCAACTTACAGAATAAAGGCAACTACTCCAATGCAAGTTGAAAGCTGTCTGTGTGAGCTATTGTATCAAAAAAATAGCTCATGTACCAAAAAAAAGTTTATCCCAGCTCAGAGTGGCCACTGTCATGACAAGAGGCCTAAATTAAGCAGCATTATATCAGTAACACACTAATAATGGTCACTTACTGTAATATTTCCATTTTCTCCAGGGGGCCCCTTTACTGTCTCTTAGGCTTAGGTACTTTGACTCGTAAAATAAGCTCATAATCCAAAGGCATACTTCTCCTCTCCTTATGTCAATTATTTTAATATAATTAATACATTCCTGATTATATTTCCATGAAAGCAAGATGACACATTGTAAACCACTTTTCAATTAGGTCCCTTCATTATGTCCAAATACCTCACATCGATAACAATCATACACCAATAGAGCGGGAAAATCAGTCTTTACTTAATTCAAAATGTACTATGTACATGTGCTGGTATGTGGCCTCTGAGAAAATCATGAATTCTTTCTTTTTCATATCAACAAGCTGTATAAAGGTAACTGTCTGATGTTGGATACAAATAGATCAGCAATTTTAAACTATGTATTCATTTTATATGTTTAAACATACTCTCTGGAATACAGCTGGACATACAAACTGTTAGATTAAAATTGTATTGATGCATTACATTTAGTTGTGCATAGTACGTTATATATTTGGAATATAAAATATTTATAGATCCAAAGTTCCTGTCACATTAGCTTTCTTTTTCCAATTAGTACCCAGTTTAACAACATTGTCCAGTCATATTCTACATGGGGGACACTGACTTCCCCTTCCAATACACCCAGTGGACTGGTGCGTAGGTACACAACATTGCCACTAGGTGGTAGGCTATAATCACAAACTTCTCAGTTGACACATTACTAATGCACACGGTCAGTTGAATAAAATGATTTTGAACTCAGTTCTAACTCTTTTCATAACATATTCCTTTAAGGCAGACTTTGACCTCTGAGTGTTGTCCCTCGTCCCCATTTAATTTGTAGTTATCACTTCATGTAAAACGTTGCTGTTGTGGAATATATAATTCAACAGCAGCGTGTTACAGGAAGGGCTGATTACAAACATCAGTTGTCTTGCCTTGGACTCTAGTGGCTCTTAAAGAGTTATTAATCAACTGAATGGTGAGTATTTTGAAGTTGAGCATGAGAGACTAAGCAGCAGCAAAGAGGATAATAAATGATTGGATCAAATGTATTTCACCAGGGGGCAGGAGAGCGTTACCAAAGACTACATGATGAAAAATGAGTGGACATGAGAAGGGAAATAACTATAACATATACAGTGATCTTGGGAGTGCTAATGTGTTGTATAATGTCACCTATCACCTGTTATTCTATCATATTATGTTGTCATACAACATAAACCAAAAAATGGCAAAGATTAGTAGCTGTCTACTTTTTGTTACCTATGTACCTGAGTCTTTCTGAGGCTGCAGTTTGCATTGTTGATGTGCAGTATTGGTCAGCATTATTCTGACACTATACCCATCATCTACACTTTACTGCCAAACCAAAAAAAAAAAAAAAAAATCAGATTTCATCTAAATGTAGTAATCAAGTCAAAGGAGAAGGTCAAATAGGGGTAACCGAATTGCCTCCAGATGACTTTTTTGCACTCAGTAACACAGCTGAAATTGTACTCACTTGTTTGATAAAATAATCACTTCTGAAGTGAAAGCAGCAAGAAGAAGAAGAAAAAAAGTGGGAGTTTGGTCTACACAATTCCAATGTTTCTTGTGAGTGGTTCATCTTTGCTGCAGTAAGCTTAAGGTAGAGACATGCTTTGTAGCCTTTATCCTTATCACTGGAATTCAGATTTAATCTTTGTTGTTGGAACTGAGAGAGACAATTTATATCAAAAGTTATCTCATTGCACTTTTCATATAGAGCAGGTCTGGACCGTACTCTTTGTAATATTATTTACAGAGACTCAACAAAGTGGCCCTTTAAATATTTTATTCAGGATTTAAAGCACCACCTTTATTTAGAAATTGTTTTGCCAGCAAGTGTTCCCACACATTCCTAATATGATTATGAGACTGTATTCCTAATACAGTATCTAACTTGCCTTATATGATACACGGCATGAAAAGAAATGAGTAAATGAACAGTAACTGATGCTCGATTAATCATTTTTACATCCACATGTGACTATTGTGCATCAGCTAAAATTGTTTTGGGGGAAATATAATCATGCCTGGGAACATTTTCTAATCAACAAAATATGATAAGGTACTGAAAGGAAAACATTCCCACCACAGAGAAGAGTTCGCAGATTCAATCAGCATGCACACAGCTGCAAAACATTCACGCTCTGTCTTTTTAAGCCACAATAGCTATATGGCTCTAGGGCCAGGAACTTTGGTCCAGACTGAAATATCAACTTTGGATGGATTGCAATGAAAGTCTGTACAGACATTCACGGTCTCCAGAGGATGAATTCTATTCTCTCTGGTGATCCCCTGACTTGTCCTCTAGCCACAACATGAGGCTGACATTTGTGGTTTTGACTGAAATGTCAGGTACAGGTACTGGGCAGATTGCTTAGTCCCCCTCAGGATGAACTGTTAATCTTTGACTCTTTTTTCTCTAATGCCACAATCAGGTCTAATTTTTGATTTGTCCAATACTTTGGTTTACGTCCATATAACTACAAAACTGAAGGGACTCCCATACGCCTCAGCTGAACTTGTGTTTAGTCCTAATTAGCAAATGTTAGCATGCTAATTCTAAACTAACATGGGAAACATAACATACCTGCTGAAGATCAGCATGTTAGCATTGTCAGTGTGAACATGTTACACTATTTACCTTATAGCTTTAAGCCTGAAGCACCACTGTGCCTAAGTACAGCTTCACTGGCAAACGTATTGTTCATTCTAAACACATCTACAAAATGTTCAGTTTTCCTTTTTATCATTTCCTTAAAATATCAGCTTGTAGCAACTAAAGCATGATTAAGGCACCTAAAACACAAGTGTGACAACAGAATAGATTATGGAAACTGTGGTCATAGTGAAATACTGTCAACACTGACTTGAAGTATTAGACAAACACAAACGTTCTGTGGTAAATTAGAGCACTTTGGACATCCATCACTACCCCAAACTACAGTATAAGACGATTGCAAGTCTGTTGTATATTAATGTTTCTAGAACACAAGGATGGAGTTAGATACAGGGTTAGATATACACAGATGTTACTTTATGTTGTGATAATATAATCCACCTCCCCAAGGAAGGCACCCACTGTTGACATTCTTCAAAACAGCCTTCATCCAGCCAAGGATAGACAGACCTCATATGCAAAGAACGCCGAATCACATGCGACTTCCTCAGAACCAGCAGCTCCCATCAGACAGCAGAAGAAGCCCCTGCTGTGATATGTTATAACTGAGCTGTGTTACAGCGTTTTGGACAGCACTTTTTGAACCAGACTTTCACAGATAATAGAAAGTAAACGCTCATCTGAGGGTAAATAAGTTTGTCCTGTCAATTCTGTGTCTGAAAAGAATTCAGGATAATGGAAGCATCAAATCATCCCTGAATGGCAGAAGCAGGTAAAAAAAAAGAATTGAGTCTGTATTCTCCCATTAAATTCAACAAAGGGTGTTAATAAAGCCATCATAGAAAATCTTTTTAAATTATATTAACAACAACCTCTTGCCAAAAATATTAAGGACAGCCTCTCATTGCATAATAAGAGTATAAAAACAGCAAGAAATGACAGTAAGTCACAATGACAATCCAAAATGTTATATAAGCCATTCCTTGTATCCTGAAATGCAGTCCTCTCTGCATCTAAATGTGATTTATGTTTTTCCCTCAAAAATAACAATTCAAGCATCAAGTGAAACATCATGTGAAGCATGTCCTCTGAGACTTACGAGTTTGTATATATTTGTGAATTATAGTACAACAGTGAATAATCTGAATTATGTGTGCTATCATTTGAAATAACCACTCACTTATTAAAAAGACAGCCTGTGGGAGCACTTAAGTCTCTGCACATTATTATTAGTGCCATTGTTACTGTTGCTCTTAACAGTAGTGCCCTGATCATTAATTGCGTCTGCTCACACACACACAATACTGTATAGTTTTACACTTGAATAAGTACACTGACGCTGTCCAGAAGTTTTTAGCTGCTCTGTGTCGGTCACTGCTCTCATGTCTTTCATTTCCAGTATCCTAAGTGGTCTTTTTTTCATGCCAAAATGGCTCAAAATTGAGCCCAGAATTCCATTCAAAAAACAAAAAACAATGCTGCCTCAGGAACATCCCAATTGAGAAGATGTTGTTAGATATGAATTCACAATTAATCCACAATGTAGTCAGTTTTGTCTCGTTCCAGACGTTATTGTCATGATCATGTATCTTGACAAGAAGTGTATCGTATATCTTTATATCACCAGGGGTAATCATCAGCAAGTACAAAACAGAATCTTGTTGACTGAAGCTTTGGATTTTATATGACTGATTGTTAAAAATATATCACAACTAACACGATATAGGATTTTACAAATCAGGATAATTCACAGAACTCACTGTGGAACTGTGAAATGGAAAAGATGGCTAAGGATTCAGAGGCAGATAATTCAAAACCATAGGACATATACAGCTGAAACTGGCTAGCTACCACTGAGGTGTAAGTGAAAAAATATGTTTTTTGATATGGATCTAATGCTTATTACCTCACCCATATGGCAATAATAAAATGTATCTTATTCTTATCTGCAGCTTGTTATGTGCTATTTATTGAGTATGCTGGTTTTGGATACCTGATGATGAATCATTGAACAGCACACAGACAGGCAATAATATTTCCAGCCTTGAATCTTGGATGAGTCTTCAGCACAGGTCACTCACCCTGTACTGCAGTCTGTCATCAGAATTACTCTGTCTGCATGAGAGACACAGAGAGAAATAGTGAGTCAAAACACCTCTTAAATTTGGCTGTATGAAAGTTTGTCACTTCCAACAGTAGAGTTACAGACTGAGTTTTCCTTCACTGAAGTTAAGTGTGAAATGCTTCCATTGCAATCATTGGCAGCATGTAGCTGTAGAAGCCATTTGTCCCGGTGTAGATTGCAGCTTCAGAGTGAGAGCTTGTTTTTGTCAATGAGCAAGGAGACGCAACTAGCCAGGTGTGCTGTCACAGTCAGAGTGGGAAGTTATGGATTTCTGAAAGCAGTTAATACTACCGCATACTCTGAAGAAGCTGACTTATCTCCTGTGCACGTCATGTCTGGGACAATCATCTCTGTCCACTCAAAACTAACCTCGCCTAAAGGCTGGATATTGCTTAACACTGTTACTTTTTTCTATTAACACTTTGTCAAATTTTGAAAATGCAGACAATCTGTTAAAATAAAGATATTTTTGGTTTCATTCTTCAGATGTTTTGCACCTGTGCACACTGAGTTAATGTAAAGCAAACTGCACTACTTTTTTAAGAACATAAATGATGTACAATCTTTTTGTGAATGACTGACTGATTTATTGCTTGTGTTTATGTGTGGTTTGTTGCTTTACAACCAAATGCAACATGGGGAGAAGAATATTAAAAGAAGAGGGAACTGATTGCAAATGGCATTGGGGCTTTCATAGTTGCAATAGTACTCTGGAGTGTGTGTGGAGGTGGTGCTACAATACTTATGATAAATTCACAAGCAGGTCCAACTTACTTATGAAATGCCAACACACACGTGGGATGTACTCCTTTGAGGCTGGTTTCAATGTGCATCTGTGAAAAGTTAATCATGGCGCAAATGATTTTCTCCTCCATCGTGATGCCTGCGAGGTAACAGCAAACTAATAACTATATTAATACAATGCTGAAAAGTACCAAAATGATCTTAAGGTAAACCAGGCAAAAAGAAAAGACAGAACCAGTATTTTTTTATTTAATGCAGGACACTTTCTTTTGAGGGGGGTTGGGTTACAGGCCACTGCCACGGGCCATTGCCTTTGCTCTACTGGAATGGTCTGGAATTGAAATTAATGGGGAAGCCTGGAATCTACTGCAGAGCTAGTATCAGTGTTAAAGCTCCCTTAGGCTCAGGCCACTGTGTCTTTGTTTTGTAGCGGAAAATTTCTCAGTCACAATAAATGCCAAACTCTTGCAAGATTTCAAACTCTCATGACAAATGTAATGAAAAAGACATTTTTCTATTTGCGGTCAGTTATCTATTAATGTCCCATTCTGCCAATAGTAGATAAATTGAGTTCAGAATTGGGAATTTCATATATGACATCTAGAGTCCCTTCAACAATGATCCAGAGAGAGAATGTGCCTGGATGGTTTGCATCCAAGGCAGAAAGCTCAGCTGTTCACTAACACCCATCTCAACATGATTATGCATATTCAGGCTTGAAATTTGACGCCAGCTGTGGTGTATGTCAGACGCATTTTGCACACATTTGCTGTCAGGTCAGATTCTGGCATTAAATTTTGCCATTGGTTAAGGTTTTACATTTTTGGAATATACTGTGCCAGAAATCCCATTTGTTTTTGCCCTTTAAGTATACCATGTCTGTCACGGGTTTGTGTGGTGAAGCAGGTTGGAGGACCCAAATGCAGGACGCGAGTCCAAAACAAAGCTTGTCCAACAGAAAATCAAAATCCAAAACGAGCAGGGAAACAGGGAGACACGACGAGTGAGGCTGACAACAGGAGAACACACTGCAACACTGGGTGACAAACAATGACCCGACAAAGACTGAGGAGGAACACCAAACATATATACACACACACCAGGGACTAACGAGCAGGGCGGGAGTGACACAGGTGACAGACATGAGGCTAATGTGACAGGCAGAGGCAGAAGGAGGGAGAGAGACAGTGAGCAGAGGGAAACAGAGAGACTGACATGCAGGCAGAGTGACAACTGGGGGAACAGACGGAACACAGGTCACTGAACACAAAACAGACCAGAGTGAACACTTAACATGAACTAAGGTACAGGACTGGGAACAAGGACAAAGAACTAAAATGCAGGAACAAGAGTTAAGGCAGTGACTAAGAAACAATATAACAACTAGACTACCAAACCAAAGCAATATCAAATCAACACAGGACTACGAGCCAGAACACCAGACAGACAAGACATAAACACTAAGGACAAGGAAACGAGAAGAACAGGTAAACAGGACACCAGAAACAAATGGCAAAAACTCAAACTCACAGGGAAAAACTACAACTCATGACAATGTCATGACAACTTAGAAAAAAACGCAGCAGAGGTGCCATGAAAATCAATAACACAAATATTGAAAAAAACTTAAAATTAACTTTTGATTATACTCTTCATTACACCTGTCCATATACTCTCTTTCAGATTACTTGCACAAACACTATATCCTGCTCTCCTTGTGTGTATGCTACACAATTTAGCAGTAGCCTAACTCCACTTGAAATAATGCGCAAGTCAGGATGTAGCATCCAAGCTCCTTTTAATTAGTACACATTTCTTCATGGAGTAAACTGAAATACAAATGAAATAGCTACAATTAACTTAGCATCATTAGCACCATATGAATGCATTCCAACACACACCCATTAGCATACAACAACCAAAATCTCCATCTATAGCAAACATCCCCACAAAATATACATAAAATATAATCCTGCAATTCAATATTAACAAAACTTACAGACGGTGGTGTCGTTGGCACAAACAAAAAGCAGATGTCGGTGGACGAACCTCACCACATGTGGCTCATTAAGAACTAAAACAAAATGGCTGACTTCCTGTCACTTCCTGAAAACTGACTTTCAAAGTAAAACACATTTAAAATAAATTAGCTCAAAACTACATAAAGTGTCCATACTACAATAAAATTAAGGGCAGAACGCGCCCGTCTGGTATCTATTAAGATGCCACATATCAATACCTAAACCACAATATAAACTTGTCAGTTCTTGTTCTTTAGAAGCGTAACAACTTCTGTAACAGGCCTGAGGAACGCCTTGTCCACTCCTTGACGACCCGGATCTCGATCTTGCGGACCTTTCCATCACCGCCTGGGAAGGTGTTCGTCACAAGAGCCATGGGCCAATCGTTCCGACATGTACAATCATCCTTCATCAAGACAACGTCACCCTTTTCGACGTTGGGGCTGGACTCTTGCCATTTGCAACGAAGTTGTAGTGTCTGCAGGTATTCGCGTTTCCAATGATTCCAGAATTGGTCGGCCACTCTCTGCACTTGGCGCCACTGTTGCTTATACAGGTCCTTCTCAGTGAACGTCCCTGGAGGAGGTGGAACACTCTGCTTCTGAGTGAGGAGCATTGCTGGGGTAAGTATTTGAGGGACATCTGGATCTGAAGAGACGGAAACTAGAGGTCTGGAGTTGATGATGGCCGTCACCTCTGCCATTAGGGTGCACAGGACTTCATGGGACAAACTGGAGGAGGGAGTGCGCATCAGCATTGAGTCTAAAATTCTCCTTGCAACTCCTATCATGCGCTCCCACGCACCACCTATGAGCAAGGAGTGAGGTGGGTTGAAATGCCATGTACAACCTTGGTTGTTGGTGTACCTCTGGACTTCTGACTCTGTCAAAATTTTCTGGAACTCCAACTCTTTGCAAGCACCCACAAAATTGGTCCCACAGTCTGAGTGTAGATGTTCAGAAGGGCTGCGGATTGCAAAGAATCTTCTTAAGGAGCTGATGAACGAAGAGGTGTCTAAGGACTCAATCACTTCTATGTGGATTGCACATGTGTTCATGCAAGTGAAGAGAACAGCCCAGCGCTTACTCTGAGCCATGCCTCCTCTTGTGCGCCTGGCTGTCATGACCCAAGGACCGAAAACATCCACACCTGTGTAGGTAAAGGGAGGTGAGGTGCTTAGTCGCTCTTGCGGGAGATCTGACATCTTTTGCTTCTCTCTTTTCCCACGAAGCTTTCGACAGATGACACATCCATGAAGAACAGCACTTATGCATCGCTTGCCACCAACTAGCCATATGCCAGCAGCTCGAATGACGCCTTCAGTGAAGGTACGACCTTGATGCTCGACCTGCTCATGATAGTGTTTGATGAGCAATGTGGACACGTGATGTTTGCCTGGCAAAAATATACATAAAATATAATCCTGCAATTCAATATTAACAAAACTTACAGATGGTGGTGTCGTTGGCACAAACAAAAAGCAGATGTCGGTGGACGAACCTTACCACATGTGGCTCATTAAGAACTAAAACAAAATGGCTGACTTCCTGTCACTTCCTGAAAACAGACTTTCAAAGTAAAACACATTAAACCAAACTACTTAAAGTGTCCATACTACAATAAAATTAAGGGCAGAACACACTACCTACATGGCCAATAGTATGGCGACAGCTAAACATTACACCAAGTGATCTCATTCCAAACCTGCTGTGACCTTTTAAACCCCTAATCGTCAGTGTTAATAAGAATTGGTGCTTAGGTGACTTGCCTGGTAAAGGTCATAAAAACAAACAAAAAAAAAAAAACACAAACACATTAAAGCAGCTCACTTCCAAAACAAATGCACACCCTAGCCAGATAAAAATCTTTATGACATAAGGCAAAGGAAACACTACTGCTTTTCTCCATAGGGGCTTCCAATATCAAAACTAATTCTTTGTAGTTGCATTAAAATGCAGCAACAACAGTCTCCACTCTTCTCTTCTGGGAAACCTTTTCACAAAGTGTTGGAACCTTGCAGCAGGGATTTGTTCACATTCAGCCACAAGAGTATTAGTGAGGTTGGGCATTGATGTTCCGTGATAAGGCCTGGCTCGAAGTCGGTTTTCCAGTCAAGTTCTTTCACACCAAACTCAGAAAACCATTCCGTAACAGACTTCGCATTGTGCACATGAATATTGTCATGTTAAAAACAGGAGAGGCCTTTTGCCAAACTGTTGCCATAAAGGTAATTTTAATTGTCTAAAATATCACTGTATGGTAAAACATTCCTTTAACTGGAATTAAGGGGTCCAGCCCGACCTATGAAAAGCAGCCTTAGACCATTAGTACACAAAAGAAGTTGTGGAAGTATTCAGATATTTTACTTAAGTAAAAATAGGAATACCACAGTGTAGTATGAGCATCAAGATATACTGAAAAGTAATATGAGATTCAGATGAGGAATCCAAAGCCAAAATGTAATGAGTTTGAATATTATTCATTTTTTTTCCTTCCGAAAATAAAACAAAAGCAACATGCGAGAATTTAAACAGAATGTCAGCTTCTCCCCATGTTGTGTGTGCTTTTATCCCGCAAAGGACAACAGGAACTTACATCTTCTCTGACATCACACACACTAACACCTCAGCATGTAACGTGTTAGACACCCTGTGCCACCTCTGTGCATGTGATTTCCGGCCCATTTACCCTTTAGCTTCTGCTCTGTCACAGCTCTATCACCAAATAAGGTTTGAGATTAAAAAAAAAGACACTTAAAAACATTAATTTCCAGAGACAACTCCTTGGTTACTCAGGATAATCCACAGACCCAAAAAGAGAATGATAAATTATCTTTGATATGTGCTACACATTTGATAGATGTAATACATATGTGTGGTTCACATCCCCTACTTATCAGTCTAACTCAAAGTGAGACAAAAACCAATGATTTAATCCCTTCAGCCTTTCGGGTTTTAGACAGATATTGTAGTTAATTGACTCCATAGAAAAGGGCTAATTTTCACAGCAAAAAAAGATTAAATGAATACCTCCCAAAATAAACACAGCAATCATACACTTGACTGGAAATGAGTACAAATACTTTTTGCTCATTGACAACACAAACCAGCCAGTGTTTTCCCGTTATAAATCATTACATGTCTGCACTACTCCTCATTTTGCAATACAGGCTGTAACCATAGCTTACACTAATTAATACAGATGCCTATAAAACAAGAGGGAGGTGAGAGCAGCACAAAGACTAAGAGCATCCTGTGATTGCGGTGGCGATTTAGTATTGATTTGCCACTTGACATAGACGCAGTAATTGAAACTAATGGAGGGACTTCATGGGGACAGAAGACAAAAGAGGAAAGGAAAGGTGAAGAGTAGGAGAAAACGGCATTGGCGGTTGGAAAGTAAAGAGAAGAAAGTTGGAGTGAGTGTAGTGCCCTTTTATGATGGTCTGGTGGACTTTGCTGTGTTTTCACCTGTTGCAGTTGATTGCAAAAACAGAGCGTCTGGCAGTAACATTGTGGAGAAATACCTCTTTTTTTGTTTGGAAACTTAGGTTAAACTGGTTACTTTTTGTATTTGTCACTTGTCTGTACATATTTAGCTGTTCTCCATTTTTCGCTATGCTGAACTTTGATACTGAAGGAGAGTCACATCCCATCTCCCATCAACAGTCAATATTTATGTTTATGACATGACCACAATTTATCCTTAACTAAGTACTTTTATTCGCCTAAATTGAACTAAACCTTTACCACAGAGGTGGCAGATTAGACAATGCTCTAATCATACTCTGCCACTGTCAGTTGGTTTCAGTTGAACATTCGGTTGCTACTTGTAATGCCAGTTACAAGTAGTAACTGCAGTTGCAGTTTTACTGACATTGTTACATCCAGCATTTTGTCAGATCTGTGACCAAGCAAATATTGACGGGCATCTTTTAGCTATCTATTCCCTAAATGCCCTTTGTTTGAGCATTAGGAGTAGGTACTCTAAGTGTTCTGTGATTATTGATTTTAGTTAGGTTTTTTTTTTTGTTCAGTTTTTTCTAACCTTGTTTACACCCAAATGTAATTGTTGAACATCTCATTCCACATAAACAGGCATTAAATTATTATTGTTATTATTATTGTTAAAGCCTGGCTTGAAGTCAGCGTTTGATGTGGCCGAGTTTTCTGTGCAGGCCAGTCACGTTCTTTTACACCTTTGAAACTTGGAAACCATTTCTTCATAGACCTTGCATTGTGCAGGGAAGGAAAAAAGGACAGGACAGTTGAGTTGGAACTGGAATCAACCTACAAAAAGCAGCTCTAGACCAAAAGTACACAAAAGCAGTGGTGGAAGAATTGTACTTAATAAGTGGCAAATACTGTGTTGTACTTTCAAATGGGTCATTCACTGGCATAAGGGACAGTGTAAATTTTAATAGCTAGTCAATACTTTTGTGAATAAAGTTTCCTTATACCTGTACTAATACAACTTTAATTCTGATGCCATATCCAATACTGTTTCCAGTTTCACAGTTTTCCAGTAAAGACTTCAGGTCTTCAACCTTTTATTGGAAGTGTGTTGAGCTTACTATATAACTGTGCACCTACACAGATAATAAGGGCAGAAGTCATATAGGTAATTTTGGAGGGCATTGGCAAATAACATATTTCGTTGTTTCAAGGTTTGGGAATTGTTGCGAGTAAATCATAGAAATGTGTCATGTTTGATTTCCATTGGCAAAACGTGTTTTCTGGCTCTTGACTGATTGGGGGAAGGTGGAGGTTAAACAACCTGAGTCAAAACTCTAAGGCCATTTTTTTTTTTCAATTAAGGGGGGGTTATTATATATCACATAATAACCTGGTCCAACAAGGCCTTGCAGCTGTACTGGAGATTGGAAAGCAGAACTACTTTTGGTCATAAACATAGTGTATAGTTGAAAATCATGGACTAGTTCATATTTTTGCTTGGATGTGGATATAAGTTTTGAGCAACACTATAAATTGTAATCAAAGCACAAAATAACACAATAAGAAAATATGAGGTTCAACTCAATTGTTTATAGTGTACAAATAAATGAAAATGTACGTATTATTAAATATAATATATATTTTACCTTAACCAGACTCTGCACTGTAGTGCAGAAGCTGTAAATAAATACAGACTAAATATTATATTTTCAAACCAGAATGATAGGTCATTGTTTAATTCAATTAAATAATTTATGTTCATGTGAAAATTATGATGTCAGGATATTGAAAAACAGTCAAAGAGGGATGAGTGAAGTGTACTGAATGAAGAACACTCTTTATGGACCAGCTGAACCGAGCTCAGCAGGAAGAATCACCATTTGAGTGAAACCCCAGCAAAGCTCCTTCAAAAGTGAGCCTTTTAGTGAACCTGAAATAACCAGACACCCAGACAGAATATGAATGACAACATTATCCCCGAACTTCACCGAGCAACAGTTTACATGCACATTCAAATGACCTTTGGCAAACAATACAATATTAATAATTCATAACCTTTCCTTTTGGATGCAAAGGTGTATGTGATTTATAAAGACAGTTTGACAATTCATCTTTGTGTGCTCTTGAGTAAGAGGTTGCCTGCTGTATAGCTGTATTTTAAATCTACATTCTGTAATCTGTCTTTTGACTTGCATCTGTCAGCACATAAGAAACCCTCAACCGTACATCTTTTTATTTAGTGTATAATCATATATATGATTGGATGTGCTGTGACGCATTGAATGAGAGTGACAGCAGGTGAGGGTGTATTCACTTATTTTCACTGATAGACCTTGTCTCAGAACAGTGTGGGCATGAACATACTGTGATTGACTGAAGTCTTGTTCATTGGTTTCACTGAACCTGTTGGGTTGGGACAACTTGCACCACTTTCATTTTTATCACGCTGCATTTACGCAATATTAGTTAAATGGGAAGAAAAGGGAAAAACTCTGGTTATCCCGACTTGGGATGTTACCCCACTGCTAATGTTAAGTCACATCAGATAAATAATCTAAATGAGCTTCTTCTGTGATGTTGCATATTTGTAGCAGTTTGTTAACAAGTGAAATGAGATGCAAACAGTCTATTAAAGCTGCAACAATTAGATGATAGACAGAAAAATAACTATTACTCAAAACGATTAACTGTTTTGAATAATTTTTTAGGAAAAAGCTGTTATATTTTCTGGGTTCTTTAGTCGTCTAAGATATTTAGCTGAATATCATTGGGTTTTGGACTGATAACCAGACAAAACAAGACATTTCAATACGTGCCTTGGGCTTTGGGAAATTGGGATGGACATTTTTTTTTTTTTATTATCTGAGACTTTATAGACCAAAGGACTAACTAATTAATTCAGAAAATCTGTCTGAACAATGTGAGGTTAATGGGACATTACCTTACAGAGTGTGGTGGCATCCCATGATTCCCTACAGAGGTCCACCCAGCTTCAACCTGACTAAAGGTCTAATCAGCCAGGATAGTTAAGCCGTGTGGGTGTGCGGGGCAGTTGGGGTCTTTGACAAGATTAGAAGGATATCATATGCCTTGGTTTTGACTTATGACAGCTCATCATTCAGGGCCATGAAAATGTGCCTTTCACTGTAAACTGTGTATAGGAGCAACCTTGTCACAACCACCATTAGAGTGGTCAGTGACCATTTCAGCAGAAGGAAAATTTCAGTGTTTCCTTCCACTTCTTTTTTGGAATGAACACAATATCCCATCGAACCTTTAATCTACTCCAGTTATCATGGATCGCTTTGCTGAGGTGTCTGATTCTGATCTGAATGGATTCTGCAGTTGTACAGCTTCCGGGAGAAAATGTCTTCGATTGAAAAGAGCAACATATTGATATAATTTCAAATTGGTAAACATGTTGAAGAACAGACAGTAGGTGATTTCAGAGATATCATTAGGTTTGCTGAACTCAGAGCGGATAAGCAGAGAAGAGAACATGAATTTCTCCTTCCTGTGTTTTCACTTTTGATGAGAAATCACAACAACAATCTTGCAATCTGTATGTTTGACATGACATTAGGAGGATGTACACAGAAAGGGGTTACCAGGCGAGGCAAAATGGTTAGGTATAAAAAATAATGGTGTGCGAAATGTGCAGTCAAGAAAATGCAACAATCAACATCCAGATCAGGCAGACGATTCATTATAACAAATATATTTGATGTGATGAACAACTCTGCTGACAACAGAGTCTGGAGACGACTGAGCTCTTCACAGTATTTTCGTGCAGCGCAGCCGTTTGTGGTAGTGTTATTTTCCAATCTAAATAAAAAGGCTGACTTACTTTGTACTCTTAAGATGAGGCAATAAAAATGAACCTTTTCAGCTTTTTAAAAAGACTGATAGATGTTTTTACTATCTAAGAGAAAATACATTTCAAACAGTAGAACACAGGCCTGAAAAGGGTTAATGACTGTGGCTTTAAGATACCAGTTAAAAAATGGTTAGGAAACTGATCATTATGTATTCCTTTTCAGCCTGCTACTATATTTTTAGCTATGTCAGCTGTGTAATGGTGGCTTAATTGAATTTTGTGTTTAAATGCAGCCTCAAAATGATCAGAATGCCCCTAAGTGAAGAGAACCGCCATCTGGAGCATCGTGTTGATGACTAAATACCCTTCTAATGAGCTATCCATCCAGCCAGACAGGTGCTATAATCTCACAAACAGCAGTCAATCAAGACTAAAAATGCTGTCATGAATCCTGATAAAAATTCTGCAACCCCTATTTGGGATGCAAAATGAGGGAGAAGAGAAAGAAAAAGCACAATGACAACAGCATTAAAATATTTTATCCAACAATTCCCTGTCAATAGTGCTTGAAGTGGAAAGAAGTGCTAGTACTCCCCTTCACATGTTGGCATGTCGGTCTCAGCAAATCATGCAAAGCATGATTCGGATCTCTGTGAGGATGGAGTTCCAGAGGGTGGGGGCTGAAACGCTGAAGGCTCTGTCCCCAAACGTCCGCAGTCTGGTAGAAAATTTAACTAAACCTTTACCACAGAGGTGGCAGCTGAGACAATGCTCTAATCATACTCTGCCACCGTCGTTGGTTTCAGTTGATCATTCGGTTGCTACTTGTAATGCCTGTTACAGTTCAACTGCAGTTGCAGTTTTACTGACATTGTTACATCCAGCATTTTGTCAGATCTGTGACCAAGCAAATATTGACGGGCATCTTTTAGCTATCTATTCCCTAAATGCCCTTTGTTTGAGCATTAGGAGTAGGTACTCTGAGTGTTCTGTGATTATTGATTTTAGTTAGAATTTTTTTTTCTAACCTTGTTTACATTACAGACAAATGTAATTGCTGAACATCTCATTCCACATCAACGGGCATTAATATGCTTCTGGGAAGGCTTTCCACAAAATTTCGTATCTTTGTAGCAGGGCTTGTTGTTACACTGATGTAGGGTGATAAGGCTTGGCTTGAAGTCAGCGTTCGATGTGGCCGAGTTTTCTGTGCAGGCCAGTCACGTTCTTTCACACCAAACTTGGAAACCATGTCTTCATAGACCTTGCTTTGTGCACGGGAGGATTGTTATGTTAAAAAAAGGACACAACAGTTGCCACAAAGTTTTTGGTTTTGGTTGTCTAAAATGTTTGCATAAAATTATATGCAAAAATTTCCCACTGGAATTAAGGGGTCCGGCTCAACCTACAAAAAGCAGCTCTAGACCAAAGGTACAGAAAAGCAGTCTAAGAATAAGTCAACCTATACAGAACAGAACAAGGTATAAACAAGCAATATATTGAATAGGATAAGTGAATATTAACTCAACACAGTCTGTGCTTGTACTGGCTAATGGTCCCGCATCTCCTCTAATAATAACTTATATTTTTATAACGCCTTTCACAGGACCCAAAGATGCTTTACACATAACTACGGGGACAGAACAATAAAAGTAATTCAGGGTTGAATGCCTTTGTGAAGAGGTGGGTTTTTAGGAGGTTTTTGAAGGTGTCCAGAGAGGGAGCATTTTGGATCTCTGTGGGGATGTAGTTCCAGAGGGTGGGGGTTGCAACGCTGAAGGCTCTGTCCCCAAAACTCCGCAGTCTGGTGTGGGGGATAGAGAGCAAGCCCTTGTCGGTGGACCGCAGGTTCCGTGAGGGGTTGTAGGAGTGGAGAAGGTCCAGTAGGTACTGGGGTGCAGTTACATGGAGAGATTTATAGGTGAGGAGTAGGATTTTCTAAGTGATGTAGAATTTGACCGGGAGCCAATGAAGCTGAGTTAGGATTGGGGTGTTGTGCTGCCACATCCTAGTGTGAGTGAGAACTCTGGATGCCAAGTTCTGGACATATTGTAGCCTTTCCAGGACCTTTCTGGGTACCCCATACAGGACACTATTGCAGTGGTCCAAATGGGAGGTGATGAAGGCTTGGATGAGTGACTGCAACAGAGTCCGGGAGTGAAGGTCGAACTCTGGAGATGTTTTTGAGGTGGTAGAAGGCAGACTTGGTAATGAGTTTGACATGTGACTAGAAGGAAAGGGAGGAGTCCAAAATGACACCAAGGTTGTGGACTTCTTGGGATGGAGAAATAGAGCAACCATCCACTTTAAGGAGTAGATCACCTACCCTCAGGAGCAGCAGCTTCGGAGCCACTATCATTAGCTCTGTTTTGCTGCTGTTTAGTTTGAGTAGGTTAGATGACATCCAGGTTTTTATTTCATTCAGACAGTTAACAAGTGACAGAGGGGGAAGCTGAGTGGATGGTTTGGTGTTAAGATACAGCTGTGTGTCATCAGCATAACAGTGAAAGCTGAGGTCATCACGGCGTATTATCTGGCCAAGGGGAGCATGTAAATGGTGAAAAGGAGGGGTCCAAGCACAGAGCTTTGGGACACACCTTGTTTGACTGGAGCCAGTGGGGAGCTGGAGTCTCTAAAGGTGACGAACTGTTCCCTATTAGAGAGGTATGACTGGAACCAGGAGACTGCTGAACCGGTGAGGCCAACACATTCAGATAAATGGTTGAGAAGGATGGTATGGAACACTGTGCGAAAGGCTGCTGAGATCTAGAAGAATGAGGATGCTGATTTGTCCAGAGTCAGCAGCGATGAGGAGGTCATTACATTTACTCATTTGGCAGATGGTTTTATCCAAAGCGACTTACATTTGAGGAACAGCATACAATCATTAACAGAGCACAAAATACAGCACGAGATCTACAACTGACAATACATATTAATAAAAGCAGCAATAAATATTAGTGGCACATATCGCTCAATGGGGTAAATACCTAGGGACAGAAGTGAGAGTTAACAAAAAGTGCAATCAATACAAGATAATTGTAGGGGATAGAAGAAGAGCACAGGAAGTGCATGTTAGATGTTAGGAGTTAGAGGTGTTCTAAGAGGAAGTGATCTCGGAAGAGATGAGTTTTCAAGAGCTTCTTGAAGTTAGAGAGGGACGCCCCTGCTCTGATGGCATGTGGTAGCTTGTTCCACCACCGTGGTGTCACAGCTGCGAAAACAGCTGGGACTGGGATTACTTTGTGTGAAGGGATGGCAGAGCCAGGCGTCGTTTGTTGGAGAAGCGTAGTGGCCGAGAAGGAACGTAAACTTCTATTATGGAGTTTAGGTAGATGGGTGCAGACCCAGTAGTCACTCTGTATGCAAGCATTAGTGACTTGAATCTGATTCTGGAGGCCATGGGTAGCCAGTGGAGGTCACACAGCAATGGAGTGACATGCGTCCTTTTGGGCTGATCAAAAACCAGACGCGCTGCTGCATTCTGAACCATTTGTAGGGGTTTCACCACACAAGCTGGAAGACCCGCTAGGAGAGCATTGCAGTAGTCGAGGTGAGAGGTAACCATGGCCTGGACCAGAAGTTGGGTGGCACATTGACTGAGGTAGTTTGATGTTATGGTGGATAGATTGCCTGGCTGGAATAACCAAGAGTTCAGTCTTAGAGAGGTTTAGTTGAAAGTGGCAAGCCTTCATCCATGCAGATATGTCAGAGAGACAGTCTGTGATCTGCGCCGAGACGGTGGGGTAGTCTGATGGGAAGGATAGGTAGAGTTGCATATAGTCTGCGTAGCAGTGGTAAGAGAAGCCATGCGAGCAAATGATCGGCCCCAGTGAGGTGGTGTAAATTGAGAAGAGAAGGGGCCCTAGCACTGAGCCTGGGGGTACCCTTGTGGAGAGGCAGTGGGACAAGGATAATTATTAATAATATAATTATCCTTGCCATAAAACATTGTAGGAATGCCCCGAGAGGTAGGATTCGAACCACAGGAATGCTTTACCCGTGATGCCTATCGCTGAGAGTGCGGATAGGAGGATCATGTAATTGACTGTGTCAAAGGCAGCTGATAGGTCAAGCAGGATAAGAACCGAGGATTGGTCTACAGCTTTAGCTGACCTTAGGGCTTCTGTTACAGAAAAAAGAGCCGTTTCAGTAGAGTGGCCACTCTTAAAAACCAGACTGATATGGATCTAGGAGGTCAGTCCGTGAGAGGAATTCTGAGACCTGTTTGAAGACTGCCTGTTCAAAAGTTTTGGATTAAAATGGTAGAAGAGAAACTGGCCGATAGTTCTCAACTTGAGTTGGGTCGAGTGAGGGCTTTTTAAGTAAGGGTGTAACCCGAGCACTTTTAAAAGTGGTCGGGAAGGTTCCTGAAGCCAGAGAAGTATTTATCACATGAGTGATTGCCGGGACCACAGTAGGAGATTCGTAGGAATCGGGTCCAGTGGGCATGTAGTGGGACGGCTATGGGTCAGGAGTTCTGATACTTCGTTCTCCGTGAGAGGAGTAAACGAGGAGAGTGAAGTGCCATTGTCCTGGGATGGCAGAGGAACAGATGTAGTAGGACTGCTGTTAGCCTTGGTGTTGAGCCTTTTGCGCCATTTCCTGGGGGAGATGGAGGGAGACATGTATAAGGACTGCTACATGTATAAGGACTGCTACATGATAGGTTTTCCTGTGCTGTGCTCACACAGTGGGAGCTGACCAGGGCAGGAATAGAATGGTTGATTGAGAGATTTAGAGAACTGGCTAGTTATAGCCGCCACTTTGCCTGTAAGGAAGGCAGCAAAGGTACCACCAGACAAGTTTGTGGGTGGAGGAGGATTTAGTACCGTTTTAAAAGTGGAAAATAATTTTCTTGAGTCAGTGGCACTGCTTATTCTGTCATTATAGAACGCAGTTTTGGCAGCACTGATGCTTGTAGAGAAGGAGGATAGGAGCAGTTGGTAGCCCTTAAGGTTGGCAGGGTCTTTGGTTTTTCGCCATTTTCTTTCAGCGGCTCTGAGATCAGTACAGAGCCCACGGATGGTATTAGTTAGCCATGGGTGGGACTGGTTCAGGCGGGCAGGCTTGGTGGATAGAAGACACAGGCTATCCAGGCACGAGCATCATTGACCTCGAGTGAGGAAAATGTGTTGAGGGAAGGTAGAGCAGATGCTACCACTGAGGCAAAGTGAGTGGGAGACAGGTTATGGAGGTTGCGGTGGTGTGAGACCAACAGTGCTGGAATAATGGGCTTTTCCTGTAGGCATACCGTGAACTGAAAGAAAAAGTGGTCAGACATGTGTAGAGGAGTGACAGTTAGGCACTCAGTGGGACAAGAACAAGGTCAAGCACCTTGGTTAGATCAAAGGACTGAATCAGAGACAGGAAGTCTGTTGAGTTTGATTTGTCCAAGTGAATGTTCATGTCACTGAGGACAAGTAATGGACAGTCATGATCTGGGATTGAAGACAGTTAGTGATTTTGATGAAGGCGGTCTCAGTGCTGTGGTGCGCTCTGAAGCCAGATTGAAGGGGTTCGTAGAGATCATGTGTGTTGATGAAGTTGGGCAGTGACTGCTCTTTCCAGGATTTTGCTCAGAAAGGGAAGGTTGGAGATCGGACGGCAGTTGTTGAGGTCATCCGGGTTCAAACCGGACTTTTTTCTACTGACAAACTTAAGCAGAGTACCAGTAAAAATATAGATAACACTATTATCAATTTTATCAGCTTCATCAGGCCCATTCGTTCTCCCCCAGATTTCCTTTTATGCATTTTCAAATATAAAATACTTTTTGCGCTCCATCTTGCATTAGTCCAGAATTATAACTAAACCTTGACTGAGGCGGATAATCATTATCTTGTTTTAATTTGAGTGCCATCACGCCCATATATTATATACTTGGGCTTACCCTGGGCTTACCCTGAATAGTTGAAGATTCTATGCTTTGATGGGTGGATCTCACAGTCGAAGCTTCACAGCAAAATGAGGATAATGCCATTTTGGCCATATGGGGGAGCTCAACATCTTATTTTCCATAGAACTACCAGTTTTCTCCCAATAAGTTAATATACAGGCTATTACATTATAAATTTCAACACATTATGCTGTAAATAGAAATGGGAAAAGAAAAACGCTTTTAATAAAAGTTTTTAAAGTGCGTGAATAAATCCAAAATTACCTTTAAAGAAGTGGGTTCAGTGCACATGTGTATGAGTGCAGCTATTTTTTTTTTTAGCTATTTTTATATACAGTCTATAGTTTAGCCTAGTGGCAGAGAGACAGAGCCCCAGCATCACCAGTGTTGTGCCGAGTTGTCTGCACCTCGCAGGATGTTGGGATGAGACACTAAACCCACAAGACAAGACTCGAGATTGTGTTCCCGAGATCAAGATGAGACGAGATTTTAACACTATTTTTAAGACATCTTTAATGCTAAATTATATGACAATTTTAAACACTTTATTTCTTGCATTCTGATGAATTTTTCTGCAGAAATTTATGATGATTTTTTTTATTTTATTCATGTACAGAGAAACACAAAATTCAGGTGGCAGGTGACGATTCAAAATCTATAACCTAACTAATAACTGTTACAGTATCTAAGTCAGTGCAGCTCTCAGGCATTCTGTGCTGTTTTCAGATCTGTTTCTCCTGTAGATCAAGTTATTTAATATCATCCCTGCTGAGTTATGATTTAGTCATCCCTCCTCTTTGTGTCTTTGTTTGCTATTGTTGGCTATTGTACACAAAACGACGGTTTTGCGTATGATACGCTGCATTTTGCAATAGCAGCACAAAGCTACCTAGCTGTAGGGTTAGCTGGTCAACATGCATATATTTACTGACTTAGGTTTAGGCACTAACTTCTCTGTGTTAAGGTTAGGGTAAATTGCCTCGGGGGGGCTGTCAACTCTTTAAACACAAACATCGCTATCTAGTTAACTACTTAGCGACCGGAAGCACTACTAGCATTTCTGGTCATCCCAGGGCGTCATATACACACGCGGCCTGGATGCGTTTCATATACACAAACCTGGGGGCGTATCACACAAATGCAAAATTACCATTTTGTGTACCATAGCCATGTTTTTTTCCAAAGTGTGTATATGTGATGTCTGACCATGAGAACCAGCTGGGTAGTAACCTTATCCCCCTTAAGACCATTTGACCGACGCAGTTTAGGACTGCATGTTGCATGTGAAACCGAAAGTAAATTAAACACTTTTGATCATGCAGAAATCTCACCACAAATCCATACACATTAACTTCCAGTGCAGCTCACTGTCCCAAACAGCAGTTTTTAGATGTTTCTGTTGCAAAACTTTACCTAGCTACGTTACCACTCGTCATAGCTGTCTGAACCATATAAAAAGG